AGAGACTCCTCTAGGTAAGTGTCACCCTCTCCAGGTTTATGATAGGAAATTACTAGAGGAGTCTTTGTTGCTTCTGTGCATTCATTTTCTACCCCCTTGTCCTTGATGAGCAAAAAAGTGGAATGTCAGGCAAGGAACGTGGCAACTCTGGCGAGTGCATTATTAATATTTATTAATATTATTATTGCATTATTGCAGTCAATGCTGCACTTTTGATCTATTGGGCGGTGTATGCGTTGGCAATGTGGTGAAGTCACTGAATTGTGGAATTGACGACTACGTGTTATTTAACTTATTTTAGGTAATCTGATGGTCGTTCGTCACAATTGGATGGAAAAAATCGAGTCGTGTGATACCAACGGGCCCAGGTAGCTCAGTTGGTACACCCACAAACTGTTGAAATACAGACCCCAAGTGTGAACCCAGATACGATCAGATGACCAGAATAGAAAAAGATCATTTCTGAATTACCTGTGGCTGGTCAGTTCAATCATTCGATGAGTGATATCTCAAGGCCATCGTCCTTTCAAAAAGAAGGGGAAAAAAGAAATTGACTCGTGAGTCGTGATATCAGGCGTTGGATTTCGAGACCCAGACATAGACATAGCTCCGTCGGGGGCCGGCCTGTTAACTCGCTAGGAGTGATGGTCGAAGAACTGGACGGGTAAGCATAATAGACTTGGCGATCAGTGAGCAGAATCACTTGCAATTCACTAACCAGCAGGTGGAATGATTAAATGAATATATCTCATGAAAGCGACCAGGTACTCTTGCGGTTTGCAATCCAGTTTTATTCGTCAGCGATTTTTTTTCTTTTTTCTTTTTTTWTTTGGACCATTTCTYGATTTATGCGTGTCATCCTTGCGCAGGGGCCATGCTAATCTTCTCTGTATCATTCCAATTTTAACGGATGTCCCGAAGGACATTTGTCAGCGATTTCTATTGTCTCCACTACAGAAAGAAAAGGGTACCGATTTTTGTCATCCATTAAATGAATATATCTCATGGAAGCGACCAGGTACTCTTGCGGTTTGTGGTTGCAGGGGTGGGATGGCAATTTGGAGAGGAGAGGGGAGGGGGGGGGGGGGGGTTAGAACTCGAAAAGTAGACGGAGTAATGCAATCGTCGTCCTTCAGGACATCCATAAAAATTTGAACGATACAGAGAATGAAGATTAGCATGGGCACTGCGCGCATTGCTGAGATTCACAGGAGTTCTGAGAAAATAGCCCAATGGTAAGAGAGGGGAGAGGAGAGAGGGGGAGAGCAGCGGGACACTGAAAGAGCAAAAGGAGGGAAATGGTGGATGGAAGGGGACATCAGAGGGGCCCGATGCTGACCATTGTGGGGAGCGTCAGTCCGGTCCCCATTCACCCTGCAAGTCAAAATAATAAGATACATCAAGTACACACACATCCTTCCGTTCGACCGAAGGATCCCTGACCGCCATTGATTGCCCCATAACACAGAAGGATTGACTGTCAGCATTGATTAAGCTTGTCATGTATTCCTCTCAGGTTCCTTCTGTTGTCCTTTCAGCTTCAGATTGGGCAAGCTGACAGTCAATCAATCCTCATGTGTAAACGTACTAAGCGAGCAATCAATGCTGGTAATGGATCACATCAAGAATCGCGAGAATCGCGAGGAAGGCGTCCTTTCTTCCCCTCCTACTTCCGTGCTCGAGTTTGTCGACACATTCTGTCTCTTCCTCATCAACTGATGTGGCAGTCCTGTTGGCCATGTCACACTTGCTGGGTTATGCGACCTTTTCGCCATCAGCCGGCTGTTGATTGATGAGGAAGGGCATGCAATACTGTTTATGTACCTTTTTTTTTTTTTTAAAGAAAGAAATTTGGACCATTTCTCGATTTATGCGTGTCATCCTTGAAAGCGCAGGGGCCATTCGCTAATCTTCTTTCTCTGTATCGTTCCAATTACGGATGTCCCAAAGGACAATACTGTTTATGTTACTATATATAGAGAAATTGAAAGTTAAACTGAAAGGCAGAAACAAGATGTCCTGTTTCTACAGTAGAGGGCAAGTTAGGAGGTGGGGCTGAAAGGTGGGGCAAGGCAACAAAGCCCTACTTTCGAGAATTGTCCGACGGCAATGCACTGCGGAGGAAGCTGCACTCATCGTGTACTCTGTTTTGATTCAAGTGCTCAAGTGGACGCGGACGCTGCGTTCATGTGCTGTGTCCTCCGCAGTTGAATCAATATTTGGACTCATCATGTTTGGATTCATGAGGTCATGAGGTCAATGTAGCCGCGGACGCCGCGCTCGTGTGCTGTGTCCTCCAATGATTTCAAGTTCCAAGATTTCATCTGTCTAGTTTTCAACTTTTCGTTGCTTCTACCATGTCTGACAGATAGTACCTAGTACCTGCTGACGACCCTCGGCAGCTCCGGTGTCTCCCACCCTTGGCTTGAATTCATCCAATCCTCGCCAGCTCCGGTGTGTGCATGGTACGACAATATCGTGACACCTCTGTGTGGTCTATTCTCTACATGAGTGTAAGCCGCCCTGTGATCCATTTTGATGGTGCCTTTGTCAGTCAATGTCCATAGGAAAAAGGCGTATACGTGCTGGTCGCAATCATCTGGTGCGGAGGAGTTCGATTACGGGTCCCGTATCGATCTCATCCTTGCGGCTGGCCCGTGCACGAAGGAGGGTATTATGCATGGCCCCACAGGAACGGAAACGTGTGGGGAAAGACGAGCAGATGGTGGCGCTGGAACGAACGAAGACGAACACAGCTTCTTCGATTGTGAGTTTCTGCACTGTGAGATAATGACTGCTCTGAAGAGGTGGAAAGGGGGAGGGGCAGATGGTCCCGATGCGGCAACCAAATGGGGGGCAATCAAGCTGGAGGGGTCTGATCATGTGCCTGTGTATGCCGTGCTGAAGGATCAGAAAGGCTGTGGTCTACACAGAGTGCCCTCATCTGCTGCACGCTATATGCCAGAAATACGAGGACGGCAGCAGAACATCGGTATGTAATAATACGACCTTCACCAAAAATGTTGGCTCATCTCATCTCACCTATATGTTATTGGGCTATGGACCTATGGTGTGCCTAAGCTGTCTGTGATGCCTTTTGTTCTGTGGTTGGCTGATTGGGGAGATGGAGCAGAGGAGGAGAGGGGGGGG